AAAAGTATTACAGAAGTGGCAGCCGACGTTTTCATCGCGAAAACGTAAACGTCGAACGTTCAGTGCCGCCATCCTGTAAGCCTAGAAGTTTGACAATGGCGTTTGAAACGTCGGGCACGATTCTGCTGATGTTCCAACATCGGCAGCAATCTAGCTATATATTATGAGGCCGTGCAGAAAAGAATAGCTTTCTAGACATAACAAAAAGTGTACATATTCATTAGTAACTAATATTATACAAATACTAATATGAATGTGTTTACGGTAAAGAAATTGAAGAACNGGTTCTGTTGATCGTACTCCACCGCATTCACAAATTCAATCATCGGCATCTATTGTAATTCGATATAGTTCTCCAAGAGAACCTTCTTTGAAGTCAGCGAGACCGGAAGTTGGCATTGAGAGATATACTTACGACCTAGATAAAGGAAAATTATAAAAATTTGATTTTTTAGTGGAAAATCAAATGGCAAATTCTCAAAACCTTCATTGTTCCATTCAAGGAAGTGATAGGATTGAAAGGTGATTTCAATGGGATTGAAAGTTTGAACATAGAATTTCCAGGGTACCCTGTTAACTAATCTGAATGATAGTGGTTTTGCTAAACATATTTCTGAAACTGATATTTTGGACTGATCGAGACTTAGTCTACAGCTCCACTGTGTTCGAGAGTTAAAAACATTAACTGTAGATTAAAAGTTTTTGAAATAATCGCTACTAAAGTTTAAGAAGAGGTAGATATTCAGCAGATTACTTTTAGGTATAAACAAAGACCTGGGGAAGTAAACTTGCTGCTGTGATGGAAACATATAATGGTTGTTAGAGTGAAATTTAACCGGAAGTAAAATAAAGGACTATGAGAAATGATAGTTATATTGGTAAATCTTCATATTCCTATCTTCGAAACTTTAAGTTCAAAATTGGACGATTTGATTACTGATTATACTTCAGATTATAATCTTATGCTGATAGATTATTTTAATGCAGGAATTAGCTTGACTCTGGACACTATCATAAGGATGCGATTTCAAACATCCAACTGTCAAATGATAAAATTTGCAATAAAAGAGAGAATTTATTTATTGAACTAGTGAAATCCTATAATTTATACATAATAAATGGTCGATATCCTTTTGAATCATTAGCAGACTTTAATTACACATCCAAACTGGGTGATTCAGTAATCGATTTAGTGATTTGAAAGAGTGTCTGGTAGAGAGATTGCATAATTGATTTATTTCTGAAGATTACATGTCTGACTATCATTTGGTCATTTTTGAGATCCTGGTAGACACTGACAAGTAGATAAAATCTAACTTGATTAACAAGAAAAAATACTAATCTAGAAAGAAAACAAATCCAGTTTATATTCTGAAACATTTTAGGTTAAATATGTAAATATTGTCTTAAGTGATGGAATAGAGGACAGATATTCTGCAATTCTGGATTTAAGTCATTAGCTGAACAATGTAGAATGACAACATACCTGGGAACGATGAAATTGTTGTCTTCAGTTTGGTTTGACAGAGACTGTAGAACAGCGAAGAAACTAGAGAACAGGATGCTGAAAACATTTTTGAATATCCCGTAATAATAAAGAAATAATAAAATATTGTGATATTAAAGCAATCTATCGTTTATTATGCAAGACTAAAAGGAAAAACTACTGGTCAAATATTATTAGTAGACAGTTGCAGTCTGCGCAATCTTATAGTCAACTTCAGTCTATTGTTAATAGATTTAACCTAATTGGGTTACTCTGCTTTTCACAAAATAGTAAGCTCTGGTTTTCTATTAAAAATAATAAATAAATAAATGTAAATAAACGTATTTTAAAAAAAGGATCGTTTCATATTGTGTATTTTATATCATAAAATTTTAAGACCATTATTTAAATTTACATAACAATGATTATAAAATATTTGCCTTGCCAAATTATTAAACTCATGCAAAAAATTAATAATTTCTCAGTTTTATGTAATAAATTAATAATAACGCAAATGTTAGTAGAATTATTTATAATATTTATATTTGTTGTCTTTTGTAATAAAACGTTTTTGCATATAAAAATTATAATATAATAAAATTTTTAAAAACTATAAATAAAAATTAGCATTATGTACGACCACGTCTAAAGGCCAACAGTGCTGCTAATCGACAAGGAATACTCTTTATAATTTTTTTCTATTTTTGTTCTTAACAATGGGCTACAGTGCCATATTGATTTTCGATTATATCTTTGTATACCGTACTTTAAACTTTGTTTATTAATAGAACTTATTACAGTGGATTTCTATTAATAAACGAAGTACAAAGTAGACAAAGAGGTAATCAAAAATTAATGAAAGTATGGACATAGAGGCAAAAAGAATTAATACAATGCCATACCTAAATAACAAATTCTATGAGTTCTCTTTTTGTAGCCAAAAGATCATTTTTCTCACATTTATAGTGTGGCCATATAAAAAATAAATTTACACACTAGAGTATAAGAATAACATTAAAAATACACATTCTTAAACAATATTCAGAAAAAAAGAAAAATAATATAAAAAAATATTCTTTTAGACAACGTATCTAATAATTTGGCAAGGTACTGAATTTGTTTTTGCTAAAATATCTTAATTTAAATGAAAGTGACCTTTTTGAAGATTATTTTATTTTATTTGTTTATTTATTTTTAACGAAAACTTTTAACTGTGAAAGAAACACACCAGCAAAGTGTAGCTCAACTTTCGCATTTAAAGTTTTGGTTTCGCCATCTGTTATCATATTTCATTATAAATATTTTTATATTTATAATTATTAGAAAATGTCAAAAGGCTTAGTTTTGAAAGTAGAAAGAGTTTTATAGAAAATTCTAAATGCTAATAACGAGTAAAATCCTTATTAAATCCAACTCTATGGGAGATAAACACGACTGCGTTTATCTCTTACCTGTTGACCTTTAACCATGAAAATTTAATGGCATCAATTCCGCTAATAGACAAACCACCCTGCAAAATTTCAGAATTTTTCGACAAAAAGAACAGAAGTAATTAAGCGTCATAAAAGTGAACAAACACACGTACACACACACTGTAACTTTCTTACATACAGAAAAAACCTCCGAATGTTTTTATATTTCTCGACGTTTCAAAGTGTCTTGAGTGCAAAAATGTAAAAATTTTGGAAGGGGGTCAGTTTTTCATCGATTTCTGTTATTTATAACGGCCAGAAAAGTAAAGGTTATGAAAACACCGCAAGTTACTCGCACATTGCATTAATTCCTGCGATTCTACGAAATTAACTTAATACAGAAATAGTATTGTCAAAGTATTGTTAACATTCTCGTTATGTTGGATCTTATCGATGCCAACTTAAATTACGTTTTCCAGGCAAGTCTCTTTGTCCACCTCTGACACGCAGTATTTATTTTTTATAAATTACACTTACTTCACAGTAAAAATTATTGCGATTTGACACGAAAATGAATTTGTTTTTTAACACTATTCCGATAATTGTTAAAGTGGAAAGTTATTATTGTCTATCGTGCAGATAGAACGTATATTTAAACGAATCGAGAGACTTCTATAAAAGATTAATGTCTATGGAGCGTATTGCATCCATTCACGAAACATTATTAAATGTAAGTACTTAATTTTTTAATCTTAACAATTTTTATGTATAGGCAAAAAAAGTGGATATTACTCACAATATATAATTTTATCTTTCCAATTTTTTTACTGTTTTATATAAACTGTAAGTTTTAAAGAAATTAAATTAATTTAAAAATAACATTCGCAAAAGTTATAATATACATACAGAGGACTTCGTACTTCGAACTTTTTAGAGCTCGAACGGAGCTCTAAAACGTTCAGAACTCAGGTCGGAGTTCAAACGACGCTCCTGCGTTCGAACTGCACGCGAAGTGAAAAAATCCCTTGTTGTATAAACACAATCTATTGATACGTTGGGCTTAAGTCGTCTCTTACATTTTTGGTGTTTGTTTATGTATACAATCCGTACTTATTATCCATGGCATCCTTTCCGTAATCTTCCTCTAGAAAAAGATCAGTAGACTAAAAGGAAGTTTGTAACATCCACGATTGAAGTGAAAAGGGAACTCATCCTGAAGCACGAAAGCGGTACACGCGTGGCAGATCTTGCAGCCATTTTTAAGATACTAAAGTCAACGGCGTGTTTTACTGTTAACAATACATGCAACATATGTGGTTAAAAGTGTTACAACGTCGATCCTCCTAAAGATCAAATGCTGTTGGACAGAAAGAAAATCTTCCCCGAGTGTGGATAAATGAGAAGCAATTGGCAAGTGATATGTGCGAATAGATTATTTCTGAGAACACCAAGTACAAGAGAATGATAATATTAAAAAATCCGGATATCGTCGCCAGTTTTATTGTCAAACTACGACTCGTCAGTAGATCAAAAACAGCACGATGTTTAGTAGACAGGTTTTATGCAAATTTTAAAATTACCGATGATTTACCCGGTTAGGGGTAGTTAAACAGTCGGAAATTTTGCAACACGTATTTGGTATGATTGAATGAGCTAAGTACGTGATACAAGTGCGATCTGCCAAAAAAAATGTCTTGATGACAATCTTTTATAGAAAACAAATCCTTATTTAGGCGTTAAAAACCCAAAAAAATTCTACTTGGCAATTGTGTTGGTCAGGCGCAAACCGGCAACCCACTCCCAGTTTTTACAAAGGCAAATTAACTCACAAAGAATGTTTCTTCATAAAAAGTTAGTTTTACCAGAAGAGTTTTGCAATTTAAAAAAGGATACACACACTTCCTAATTGAAGAAATTATAAAGTTTTAAATCATGAATTATCTTACAATTCTACCGAAAATTCTTCAAAAAGTTTAATTACTAGTAATGAAATAAAAGATTTTAAATACTGTGCACATATTTTATTTCCTGAAACACTTAAAACATTATATATAACTTTTAATATCACAAGACAATGCTATTTCACTACATCAAGCGTAAACTTTTACATGAAATATTCGACAATTTTTATAATTAAACTTGAATAATTTCTCATTAATATTGATAAAGGAATTATTAGAAAAAAACACTAAATTTTCATGCAAATAAGTTAGGAGGAGAGAGCAGGACTGGTACAAAAGAAATGTCTCATTTTACTCAGTTGGTATCAACGCAATGGCCCGATAGTCGAGAATACTACTCCGGGGATCTCAGATTTAATCAGTAGAAGTGAAAACTACGAATTTTTCGAGGGTAATCTGTCTAATACGTCCCTCATTATGGGCCTAGCCGCCAAATTGTGGGCCTGGCGGAACTTCACAATGGTCTTGCTAAAATAAGGCATTTTTAGTGCGTGTAGAACAGACAGAGTTTTAAAAAAGTCAATTGGAATGGATATAAGTTTACTCGCAGGTGCTTTTATGATGTCATAAATATATTCACTGTGGTTAACGTAAAATTGCAAGTTTTTATACAGGTAAGTCATATCTCCGTAAGTGTGGCAGTAAGGGTGGTTAAAAGTATTGAAAATTATAGGGATTTCCAGCAATTGAGTGCCTTTTAAGTGGTGAAGTTAGTGTAGTGTGAGACGAGTTGTTAAAGTCCTGGGCGTGTTTGATTTGTAACGAGACATTTGGATACATCTGACTTGAGGGTTGGGCGGGTACAGTGTATTTGTTGAAAAGAATAAGCCACCAGGATTGCAATTAATAAACAGTTAAATATATGCTTTATGTGAGTCGTTACAGCTATTGGTTTGCTGGAAATATCAATACACAGTGTTTTCAATTTGGAATTTAATATTTCTTCAATTATTTACTGTCACGTAACCCGGACAGGTTGTAACATCTTCATGCCCAAATTTAAGTCTAAAAAAGTATTACAGAAGTGGCAGCCGACGTTTTCATCGCGAAAACGTAAACGTCGAACGTTCAGCGCCGCCATCCTGTAAGCCTAGAAGTTTGACAATGGCGTTTGAAACGTCGGGCACGATTCTGCTGATGTTCCAACATCGGCAGCAATCTAGCTATATATTATGAGGCCGTGCAGAAAAGAATAGCTTTCTAGACATAACAAAAAGTGTACAAATTCATTAGTAACTAATATTATACAAATACTAATATGAATGTGTTTACGGTAAAGAAATTGAAGAACACGTTAAAAACTACAGTACATCTAGTCCCGCTCTCCCCTGTACTTATTATAGTTATTATTTCTGTAAAAGACATTTACGATTCCAGATCTTTCCAACAAAAATTTCGGCTAGAAAACAAAAGAACGATAAGGTATATCCTGCGAAAAGCAGAAGAAATGCCCCAAACAGATCTTCTACAGACAAAGGTTTCGAATCATTATGCGGTGTTGGTTTCGGTTTGAAAAGGTTTGAACCAGACAGTCTATAAAAGATTCCATGTTCAATTAATCTTCTCATTCTGAAAACAGATTAATTGTATTATTAAATCATGGTTAGGCTACTTCTTGAAGATAGATATAAAAGTGAACTTACAATTTGTCGATTTTACTTTTATACGGAAATCCCTTTCTCATGGCGAATGCCAAGTTTCGTGTGAACAGGATATCTTCGGAAACAAAATATTGGTCCTCAGAATCTATGGTTAGTAATCGGTCTAGTCCTGGTGGCGCAACGATTGCGACTTTTGTCGTTTCACCGTACGCCTTAAGAGACTTCATTAGAAATTCGGAACGTTTTTTGTTGAATTCCATGCCTTTCGAATTTCCTGTACCAATAGCTTTATTTTTCAGGTTAATATCATTTTCTTTAAATAAATATTCTTCCAAAAACCTGCGACTCAAATAGAAGTGCTTTGCCAAGGTCTTTACATATCCAAATTTTGATTTCTGTAAAGAATTCTATTCTTATTCAAGTCACAAAAGAAATTTTCTACTTACTATGAAAGTCGTTAAAAACCTATTAATTTATTGTGGGCTTATTATGTTTAGTTATGGCAACGCACGACTTGGGCGATCTGCCTCGGGGGGATGCTTTCCAGGAGGTCTGTTTAAGGGAAACTCGTTCCTATTTAGGCATTACAGACGTGGAGAAAACCCGGAAAACTCCACGTGGCCAATGGCCACGAAAAGCTCTTGGCCATTGGTGGGGCGGGTTTAATATGAAAGTTCATAAAACAGGAAACTGCAGTCTAATGTCATCCATCAATTGTTATTTTTATAAGCAGTCCTAAAGAAATTACGCTAAACTGAATCTGCTGTATTTTTGCTATTGTAAGTGGTAAATGAGCGAATTCACTTTTGCTTCCTTGATCGCAGAAAGCGGAAACACAATAGAGTGAAGCGATGCCACACGTGGCAATAATTTCAACCTTGACCCATAATATTTCTATGTCCGATTAATCGATCTGGATGAAATTTGAAATATTTAGTGTATATGATTAGTGTTATTTTATTTAGATGTTTTTAACGAGATCTACTTTTCAAGCTGGTTTCACAGATTTTAGGATAAAGATATACAATATAGTTGCAAAGATGTAGTGTGGGTGCAGATAGCCTTTTTTTAAATTACTGCTCTACTGTTTTGAATCGGTACTATTGTTATTTCGATGAATACAGATTTCTTTTTGCAAAAATTTTGTACGAAGTAGATCCGGTTCCTTCATCTTGTTTTCTGATTTACCACTTCCAGTGTTCACATAAGAATGTTTACGTGTTTTTATACGTTTAAACTTCTAATAACGTCATTTTATTGATTCGGGTTACAATCTAAAACAATTTTGTACTTACGTTCAAGTTTTCAATTTCATCGTAATGGATATTCGCGAAGCAGGTATACTCTCTTCTTTCAAGAGCGGATGCAAGTTCTTCGAATGTCTTTGGGACGGATACGTTTCCCCGCACGGTCAGCAACGATGCTAACACGTTGCCATATCCCCATATCAGAACACTAATCGATAACAACCACAATCCGAAAGTTATTCTGGACTTAAGTCGATTTATGGCATTTATGTTGACACCTAAAACAATGGAAGTACTGTATATGTTTACCGGTTCTCCCCGTGTTTTCGCGAATGAGCAAAATTTTAAAAATAGCAAAAATTAGTAAAAAGATAACAAAATTTCCTTGTTTTCTTTTAAAGAAAATCGTCCCTTTTTAAGAAAAAAAGTGCACTTTTCGTAAAATCTCCTCATTCGAATGAACTAATTTAGGTCTGTTTAGAGACTGAAAATCATATTATGCGGATTATAATTATCAACAAACTCTATGATATATGTGCTTTATTATAATTATGACAATCTTTCATATACTGTATTTCTGAATGCAAATTTTAATTCCTGAATTTTATTTAATGTTTTAACCTTTTTATCTGTTATATTTTTATTTCCCACCAATGTTATATACGACAGAGGAAACGTATGGCGATCAGTCAAAAAATGACTTCCCAAGATTTTTACATAAATAATTCGGGTTTTTTTCATCTGTAAGAATGTTATTGCGAATGTGTAGAGGCAGGATTTTGTTCACTCTCATTTAAGCTTAATAACTCCTGTGCTTGTGGTGGAAAATTCTTGAAATTTTGCAGAAAGATTTGATAATTAAGGGGATCGATGCTTTCTAATTTTTGGTGGTTAAAGGTCAGGAGGGTGTGGAGATAAAGGGAGTCGTGTGTAAACGTAAATGCTGATAAATTTGTCCAAACCCTTAATATTCAACTTTTGCCTATAGTTAAGAATATAAAATTTTTTCAGTCAAACGTGATAATAGATAGTGCCACCGAAATTTTACATGTTGCCGGAAAAGTTGAGCAACTCGTTACTGGTGTTTATTAAATTTGTCTGGAAAAAAACCTTGAAAATCTTTTCATTTAGAATCCATTAAAAATAACTATTGCCATGATTAATTATTAACCAAAACGTCATTAATCTTCTATTATCAGTATCTTCTTATCTATCAGGTTTGAGATTTGTCATGTCTTTCGAAATCTCAATAAGTTTTAAATAGTTGCATGATAGTCTTATATCAGACCAAACCAATGGAACCATTTTACAAAATTGCACTTTCTACTTATAAAATAGACGATTTTCTTTTAAAAAAACAGGCTAAATTTGTTTTATATTTTACTACTTCTAGCTATTTTTCAATTTTTGCTCATTTGCCAAAACATGGGGCAGAACCGGGAATTAGGCACTGTTAATACAAACGTCATTTTCGCGACGTACTTCAACGTAATTCTCATAAATTCTGTCGACTTACCTTGGTTAGTTAAAGTTACGATAAGAAACCAATATAAACGGCCTATAGGCAAAGGTTTCTCGTCTTCGTCTCTAATGATGCAACGAAGATATAATCCAAGCAGAACAATGCAACCCAATAGTGCCAGCCACACCTGTGTTAAATTTTTATAAAAGGAAACCGTTAAGGCATCCCAGAATTTGCAATTTTATATTTAACCAATAAAAATTATGATTAAAAACTGCAAAACTCACCTCTAAAGAAAGAACACTTACAATTGTTTGCCAATCGATTTCATTTTTTTTTACTTGTATCATGAAAGTGAATGAAGTTGTTAAATGGGGTATGGCAAAATCTACATATTGAGAACGTTCGTACTGAATTTCGAATGTAGATAGAGCAATATCTGCATCCTGTAAGAAATAGAAAATATGGTTCATACATATAATTGATGGAATATATCAATGCATTTCGGATTAGGCAAAGTCACGCAGTGTCCTTTCAATTGCCAAAGGGAAAGACCGATCCTTACCCTTTCATTGCTTACGTGGTGTTAGTGAGACGTCATTTCATTTTTAACAAAATAAAATGCTGGCATCTAAAAGTTTCCATACCAACAATCCTAGTGTGTAAAATTTGCCCGAATAAGACATCACTGTACTTTGTCCCCTCTCAAGTAATAATCGAATGGAAAAGTCATTAATAGATAATGAATTTATCAGTACAATAATATACTACATTGGCGGGCAAGAATAGATGGGGCTGTTCTTACCCTGGCCATGAATGATGACACCATCGTTTGAAATTTCGCACAAACCAAATTTCAAAAGGTTTAAATTGACATAATTTATTGCGAGATAAAACTTAATATGTGTATTTTTTTGTTTTTGGATCGAATTAAATGAAAATAAATACAAAAAAACCGCATCTTTTAATTCATACGTATCATATATTGTTAGAAATTAGACAAAATGCACAAATTGAATTTGTAATCGGAGGTGTTGATTCAATGTTTTAATTTGAGTTTAGTAATGTAGCTTCTGAGAAGGCCTTTCTGAGTACAGTGTGTATTAAGAAAAAGCGTGCAAAGAAGGAATACAATTGCCTGGCAGAGAAAAGCGATCCATACATTTGCTCGGCGTTGAATAATTTTTTCTTGTGTTTTGTTCATTTTTGGCGGCCATTTTCCGTTAGGCGAGTGCAATGCAAGTTTTTCCCATTTTGCTGCCTAAATGCCTCGTGGCACTATCACTTTCACTGTATTGTATCTCAACAATGCCACGTACTCTCACTTTTTATTACACTCATGGATTCCTCATAAAAACTAATGGAAAATAACAAAGGCCAACAGAAATTGTTGATTGTATTTGTTCGAAACAATTATATTTACAGTTGATCATATTTTTAAGCAAATACTTAAAATATATTAATGAGATGTTTTATTTTTTAAATTGTACGAACAAAGAGTAAAGTAAAAAAATTAAATTAAATAATAAATACCTGATTTTTTAACTGAAATAGTTCAACAAACCGTAGATTACTAAAAAGTTTTCTCGGGATATTCGGAGACACTTTTCCATATACGCAACTGGAAATAAATAAATAATTATTCTTAAGATTAAAGTAGTATTGAGAGTGGAACATTGCATTAACCATTGAATTAACTTTAATACACTGTGACAAAATGCTAGGCAGTTTTCAAATTGTAAAGGAGGAATTTAAATATTATAAGAGAAATCTTTATTGACAATTAACCCAACAACGATTACTTTTCAGTTTTTAAGTAATTACTCCGAATATGAATTATATCTTCACCTTTGCTGCAAAAATACAATGAGTATAGAAGGAAACATTTCTTTGCAGAAAGTCTCAAGCGTTTGTTAATGTCATTGAACTATATATTTACAATAATGTTCTGTGCGATGTGAATTCGATGGTAATCGATAGCTGCCAACTCTGGGCTGTAAGGTATATGAGGCAGAAACTCTTGTCATAGACTGATTAGCTCGTCTAAAGTCATCTTTAGTGTTAGTGCTGATATCGAACTTTGTCAATTTATCCAGTTCTGGTCAACCGTGGTTATCGTTTACTACTTGCAGGAGTACGTCCACTAATAGTGGAACTTCTGACTGNACTGATTAGCTCGTCTAAAGTCATCTTTAGTGTTAGTGCTGATATCGAACTTTGTCAATTTATCCAGTTCTGGTCAACCGTGGTTATCGTTTACTACTTGCAGGAGTACGTCCACTAATAGTGGAACTTCTGACTGGATGGTGTTCGTGTTGAAGCAAAAAGTCTGGATCGTTGTAATTTTTAAATTAACTGTAGTAGATTGTCCATCGACTGTCTTTTTGGTGAATGCCTTGCAGATGATGTCGTGAGCCTTTCTTCTGTCATGGCCACTTTTGAAGTGATAAAGAAAGTAAACGCGAATACTTCGAAAGTTTTATATTGTCAGTCTTTGCCGGTGCATCTATTTTAAATGAAGTAAGCGAGACAATGTATGTATGTTGTGTATTCTACTTACGTATTGGCATAAAACGTTTTAGAATATTTCTTTCAGTCATGTCCACAAAAAACGAAATGTCTACATTATTTTCATCTTTAAAACTTGATAGAAGGAGGTGCTGCAATCAAAATAATGCTTATTGACACGAGCTAAACGAAGTATAATAATAAGTTATGATATGATAGATAAAAGTTTCTCTCGGTAATGGTGCAATTGTAAAACATCTATAGCAGCCGGTTAGACCTGCTCCCTTCTAATTACAGACAACCTACGCAATCCTGTAACGAATTTTCTTACGGAAGCGTAAATTACCGGTTCAGATTTTTTAATGTCGGTTGACAGCATCAGACACTCTCCCGTCCGTTTCCTTGAGCACTAGAAAAGCGACAAACCTGTACATTAGTAAATCCAGGACTTTTGGGTACCGAACAGTGAAATTTCCAGTGACAAATAAAAATCAAAGTAAGAATTATTAAAAAATTCTTTAATTCTCATGGAGGCATTAGCGTTTTCTACTGTAATTTCAAGACATTTTCTTATCGAATCGCATCAAAATTTGGAAAAAAATGCTCGACTTAATTTTTCAACAAAATGCTTTCATTTCATAGATAAAACTTCTGGAGTAAATTGCTAGTTTTTTATGAGAACAAAAGTTTTGATATTAAGACATGTCCAAAAATGTACTGGTGCGAGACAGACGGCACAAGTAGTCGTCACAAGCTTCCCACACGACACCTAATATTGGACTACAGTGTGGCATATGTACGGTACCTTGGACAGAATGCTTAAAGCGTCTTTCACGCGTCTCGAGGAAAGTGGTCACATGCCTCATTATAGAATGATAGACATTTTTACACGTTTTAGGATATATGTGAACGGCATTGCAGACAGCATTCAATCGTTTCCACAAAGTTTGTTGTACATGAGGAATAGTTCAGTGTATAAAATACTTTTCTGATGACTCGAAATCCACGAAGTGGGTGGGCTTGAAACAGGCATTTCTTAAGTGATCTGTGTGCTACAAAAGATGAGTTTCAGATATCGAGAAACAAAACCTGTGCATTTCTAGATATATATTAATAGGACCATCTTTATCCTTTCTCCTGCCAAAAATTCATATTCAAAGTCTGCGCCCTTTAGTTCCAAACAACACTGTGTATCAAAATCGAAAATTTACTTTTAAATACGTCGATGAAAAGAAACCATAAATTTGATATCGTAAATATTTAACATAAATTTTATAGAAAACAAATTTCAGTTTTCAGAACTACGATATACTGTGAAGGAATTTTGTCTGTACACTAAATACTGCTACATAAATAAACACGTTGCGAAAATAAAGTTATTTGTTTTACGTAACAATTGTCAAACGTACAGGAAGTTTTACTTACCTGGCATTTAACGTTTTATAGATCAATGACGAAAGCGCCTTACGACCACTAAAATGGCTTTCTTGGCAGGGACGATTGAAAAACAGACCTAACTGAAAGTAAAAATGATAAACTTATTATTCTCGAATTACTGTCGTTATATTCGGCAAACGCCGCTATAATTAATAGAAAAGTGGAAACTTTCTGAAGTAATGATACACGTTAAAAGTATATTGCAGGTATCGATACTTCTAACGAATCGTGGAAGGACTAGGAAAAAAATCCTTAATACGTTTTTTTTTTGTATTCTCAAAATATGAATATCATACACACATATATATATACACACACACACACGCGCGCGCGCGAAATTACTTTTTTTGTTGATATTTCAAGTTCTTCAATTCTCAAAACATCTAAATTTAGAAAAAGACAAAAAAATCAAATTTGAAAAAAATTCAATGTTTTCCCACTTTATATACTGTACATAACAGGCAGAAAGTTTATTATATTTCATTCATTCGCAATGTTTTTTACTCGGATGAAAGCAATTGCTTCGGTTAATATTAAACGGTACTTACGGCTGATGTGGTAATTCGTATGACATTCGTTTGATTCCTCATATCTAAAAAATAATTAATGCCATGTATTAAATATAAAATATTTTATATTAAAATTAAACATTTTTTTAGCAATTCTCGAAAAAAAATTATAAAATTTATTATAAAGTTCGAGGCCTATACTGAATAAACTTCACTATAACAATTAGAATAATTTATTCTTGAGATTGGAATCTGAGAAGAGGCTTGAAATTTAGCATTTAGTATAGAAAACATTAGGCGAAAATTATGTGAAGTATACTTTCACCAGGAGACCTTCTGTCTTGTTTTTTTTTCACTCTTTCCGCCCTGTGGGCACTAAGAGGGCCTCTTTTTGCAAGCTCATTATGGGTTCGGCCAGGCACATAATGGGGCTGCCGGGTGGTGAGTGACAGGGCCAGACGTATCTGAACGGACCACATCCCGAAAAATTCCCCGGATTTTTTTTCGACCCGTTCGGATTCGAACCTGGGTCCCCCAGAGCGGTAGGTTGCCACCTTGACCGCTCGGCCATCCGGCCGCCCGTTCTGTCTTTTGGTGAAAGTATACTTCACATAATTTTCATGTGGATCTTTGACCATTTCTCTATTGGATTTATATTCTTGATTCTCTGTAATAAATAAATTTCATATTTATTTCTTGAAAAATTATATATTAAAACATCCAGCAACGAATTGCATGTTTCTCACATAACTTGTCTGATAAGCGGTACTACGCATTAGCACAAACAAAATCGACTGTGGCACCATCATCATGTGTTGTGAGAGTTTTTTAAAACGTAACTTTTATATTTTAAATTGATATATTCACAATTATAATAAGTTAATTTTAATTGTCATAAAAAGACAAAAACCTTAAATTTAAGCGTATATTTGAAATTTTTAGAAAATTATAAATGCTAATAACTATTAAAATCTTTATTAAGTCTGATCTTTCTTGAGTTACATGTTTTTTAACTGTCTCCATCTCTAATGACTTTCAACCTCTATAATTTAACAGCTCCAATGCCCCGTATAAAAAGTTATTATGTTAAGTTTCGTTTCATTATATTTACTCATCATTTAATATTAAACAAAACAGACGCTTACACACAGACAAGAATACATAGCAACAGAACTTTTCACTNTCGAGTTACATGTTTTTTAACTGTCTCCATCTCTAATGACTTTCAACCTCTATAATTTAACAGCTCCAATGCCCCGTATAAAAAGTTATTATGTTAAGTTTCGTTTCATTATATTTACTCATCATTAAATATTAAACAAAACAGACGCTTACACACACACACACGAATACATAGCAACAGAACTTTTCACTGTATTTTTCGACATTATTGGGTTCAGGTTGTCTCAAAACACAGAGATTTGCAAACACTCGAAACATGAAGTTTGACACAATTACGATAGTTTCTCGTGTTATATACGTTAAAGCTAAGAAAGTGAGAGTATTTAAGATGTAATATTAACTCTACGAAGTGGTTGAGATAATCTAAATATGATTAAGTGTGATCTTTTTCGTTAGGTAGCATTTCGCATTTTATACACAGAAAATGCCGTTGTTATTGTTCAATCGCGTAATTTCGTATAGACCTTACCGGTTGATGTAATTTCTTATTTCGAATACTTCGGTTTAGCACAACACTTGGTGCCATTATAAAACACTAATAACAGCAAGTATAGTCCTTTGATAAGAGGAAACGGATCATTTTTTCCAATGGATCAGACCGTCTAAATGCGGGTGAGAGTATTGAGAAGTTGGAAATTTATAAGTACAGTATATACATTAGTAGAGTCGGAAATTCTATTGTCTACCTCACACATTAGTTTAATAAATTACAGGATATAAGTTTCTTTACATTGATTCATGTAATAATTGCTATAGAGAGAGTATATTTCAATGTTTTCTTTCGGGAAAGATTTAGTGGACGTCCTAAATTACAAACTATATAGTAGAATTTATAAATAAAATCTTTTGTTTTAAATATTACCAAACGACAGTTTGTTAAATTTGCAATACTTACCAGAATTTGCTGCTTCAGAAACTATAATTACGGAGAGGAAGAGTATTATAAAAGGGAGGACCATCTCCACGAATATACGGCACTTTGACGTGACACGTAATGGAAAACGAAATCGTGACCAACGAAAATATAAATTGTCTGTTCTCGTGCCACTAGCAAATAAATGACGTTACTAATACAAAAAAAATTATAACCGTCGATTAATTAAAACTATTTTTCAGAATGAAAGATATGATTGCTTGAAATTTATCTATGAGTACCTCACACGAGAAGATAGAGAACAAACAAAGAATTTTTAACACACAGTGAAGATTCAGAAAGTAAATGCTTTAGGCCTTTAAAATAGAGAGAAAATGGTGTAGAAGCTTAATGATGGGGTAGTCGGATCCCTCCAGAGTATTTTGGAATTAAATTTAAACTAAAAAATAGTCTTAAAAAGCCAATCTAAAATCATATTTTGTTAATGAATAATTTGAAATCAATCATTTCTTATTCATTTATTATCATAATGAAAATTAATGCTCTGCTATAGATTGCTTGCGTATATTATACGTATACTATGAGACTATAAATTGGTGTAGAAGGAAATTTATGATCCCGATTATGAGTTTGTTTTGGAAGTTTTTTCTTCATATGTCCGGAACATTGTAAAACACTAAAACTGACAAGTGTGTAAGAGACACTCAATTTTCAACAGACAAAGGTAAGAAATTTTTAACGTTATTTTGTTCTGGTTGAACTTTCAAAATACTCGTCTGGTTCAAAATCTTAGAAGCGTTAAAGTAGTAACAACACAATAATTAATGTATTAGATCAATACGTTTTTATATTTTCAGTTGACACACTGTTACTATTAAATTTATTTTCCACAGAGATATTTAATGGATATTTCTAATTATATTGCTATTTGTTTGTTTAAAAATACTCCGATACACGACAAATGCATTAATCGCGAATTTGATGAGAAAAAAGTAAAGTCGTCAATTAAAAAAACGTTTCAGTTATTAAAGATCTTATAAAATATTAAAATTTGAAATACAACACTCAAGATTTTCTGGACAGTCTTATTGATCAAATTATAAATGTTATTGGTCCATTGTTCTCTTATAGTGTTTAGGTACAGTACTTTCATATAAGCAAAAGAGTTAACATACAGATTTTTCATGTCGAATATGAAATACTAAATAATCAGTAGAGATGTAAGTCTCAATATCCCGGGACAAAAGTACAGTTACGAACTAACAAGATTTCCAACTATCCGAGTTCGAATTAATGAAGATTTCCTGTATGTGTTTGGGGTATATTTCATTTAATATCTGAGAATGGGGTAGATATTAAAAAACCAAACTTTTCAGGATAACTTGTATGCATTGAGACTTTAAAATTTTTATAGTTAATAATACAGTTGATTGGGAGATAGACGGATGATGCATGTATATCGTATTTCAAATGGGGTCAAGAATTAAAGAAAATTCTAGTTGTTATTTGCATTTACAATGTCTTAAAAACTTGTCTCTACCCTCAAAATTAAGCGTTTTTACATTTTATAATAATTAATACTGCAATATTTATTTTGAAATAAAATCTGGTAACAGATGACGCCGCACAATTTTAATTTTACTAATGTGTCGTTGTATTTTTCACCCGGAAAAGTTATGCAACTTGATGCGACATTTTGAATTCTGATTTGAAAATTATTGTTTTTGTATGACCTATAAATAATTGTACTGTTTAGTATAATTTTGAAATTAAAATATGTAATGCTAAATTGTAGTCTTTTATAGGTTTAATAGTTTTTATTATTTTTTTATTATACACGATTATACACAAAATTGTTTATCCACGCAGTTGTTATATATTCAATTTCCATCCACCGGGTTATCGTTTACCAGATTTGTCCACTAAATTACGTGTCTACTTAGATACCTGTCCGTTCTGTTGTAGTCTACTTAAATGTCTATTTAACCAATTATCTTCAAGCGCTTCTCAGCCAATTAATTACCTGTCCACTCAGTTACCCGCATTGTTGTCATTAACCAATTGTCAGGATCGTACACTCTTCAAGACAAACTATCTATGACTAGGTGGGTGAACGAATACCGTTCACTTAAGCGTATATATTTTTCATTTTGTTATGCTGCAATTTGAAAAATAGTAGACTTATAGATACTCACTTGCATCCATTCATCTGTCCGTCCGTCTGTATTTCTTCATTCTTGAGAAAGCAGTTATATAGATGAAATTCGAGATCTAAGTTGTAAACCAAATTGGCAGAAGGCACTGACTAACTATATAAGAACAATGGATGGAAATCGGTAGTCGCGTTATTTCAATTACAAAAATTTCCGAAAGATGTTAGATAGACGATTGGCACGACTCTGTTCTTACAGAGAAAGTATGATGTATAGGTTCAAGCCACCACTAATTTGAGGTGGAAAGCATATATTTGAAATTAAATAAATTAGGAGTATGATTAAAAATTGACAGCCTGGCATTATGACAATAAACAATTGCTCGTTCGTAATGTATTTCAAAAACATTTTTAATAAGAAAAAGCAATCGAATATTGCTTAATGTAAACAAGCACAATTTATTTGTTAATAAGAGAAAGAAATCCGATAATCAAATTCCTCTTCACGACGGGGAATGGTTTTTAGAATATAACTTTTGCCATCCAAGTTCTGATTCGATTCTTGATTTTGTGATATGTCTTTCCTATTTTATATGATTACATTTCACTCTCTGAATTAAAATGTGTATAGAGTTATTCATACTATTTAACATGATTAAGGAAACATGTTTTTCCTGAGCATTGTAAAAATGCTCAGAAATTGCTAAATTTTCAAAACTATCGTTTAATAACGTTGTTAAATACCTTTAGAAAATCGTTTACCGGAATTATGGCAGATCGGTTAAATCAATGAATAGTAAAATTTAATGTTATCTCCAGTGTCAAGGACAATTTGTTAGAGGAAGAAAAACTATGTACAACATCTTTATACTTAATGGTTTGATACAGTATGTCCTGTCAAGTAAAATACGTAAAATCTTTTCGATATTTATGAATTTGGAAAAGGCTTTCGATAGAAACAATTTTGATATTTTATGGGAAAAGTTACATTCATTAGGAGTTTCAACTTCGTTCATTAAGCAACTTAAAAATATATTTTGTAACACAAGATATCAGGTGAGAGACAATCTGACAAATACTAAGGGTGTCGTTTCTGGTGGTGGGTTGCCTCAGGGGAAATCTTTAAGTCCCATGTTATTTATATTATTTATTAAGGATTTACCGCAATCGTTTTCTACCTCTGAAACTTCGGAATTTGCTCTTGAAGAATCTGTTCACCTGCATTGTTTAATGTACGCTGATAATGTAGTTCTGCGGACAGATTCAAAAACGGTTTTCCAACGAAAACTTTCTCTGCTAGTTAAATATACCAAAAAAATTATCTTACAGTTAACTTATAAAGAACAAAGGGAATGGTTTTTCGTAATGGAGGCAGACTACTTAAATCTGATAAGATATTTGTGAATAATACTAAAATTAGTACTTTGTCATATTTTATGCGTGTAGAAATACATATTTATTCTTTTGGTGCGTATAATTATCACTTCGGTTTAATATCCAAAGATATGCAGAATAACACAGACTATATGCTTACATCACAAAAACGAATGAGGCTAAGTTCTATGAGAAGAATCTGTAAACTTTTTGACGCTTTTATTGGTTCTATGATGACTTATTTATTCCCGGACTGAGGACTGGAGTTTCTGTCTAAACTAGAAAAAGTACAGATGAAATATTTTAAGAAACTTTAAAATAGAACATTCAGCTTCAAGTTCTGCAGTTCGTCTTGAATTGGGAAGACCTCCTTTGGAATTGAAATTTGTCAAGGCTATTCGTCTGTTTCGGTCAAAAGTTATGATGTTACCCTCGTACGACTTGTGCCGAATTACTCATAATGTTTTGTTAACAGCAGTCAAACCTGATAATAAAAGTTGGCCTGCTTCAGTTACGAATACTTTTGATAGCTTTGGTTACTGTCCAACAACATTTGATCTCTTGGAAGGTCAACCTTGTTACACTTTTAAGAATATATATGCTGCTTGTATTTGCTATCTTCCATTAACAGCAAAACACACCGTTGACTTTAGATGGCAGGTCTGCTACGCGTGTACCTCTTTCGTGTGCGGGAAGAGTGCCTTTTTCAATATAATCCTGGATGGTAAAAACTTCCTCTTAGCCTTCTAATTATTATCTAGAGGAAGATTAAGGAAAAGGATACCACGGAAAACAAGTATAGATTGTATATATAAACAAACACCAAAAATGCAAAAGACGACTTGGGCACACCATGGATAGGCAACCTGCGGCCCGCGTCGCATAAAATATGAAAAAATATAACAATTTTCCAGCTTAAGGAAGTATGCAGCAAAAACTCAAACGTTATTTTCTACGACTTATGTATGTGAATAGTTTTTCCGCAATAAATTTAGTAAAAATTAAAACAAGAAACCGGCTAACAGACACATCGAAAGTAATTTAAAACTAGCAGTGATTAGTATTTAACCAAATATTTTCTATATATTACGTATACATCTGTGCCAGAAGAAAATTTAAGTATGCCAATACTAATTTATAATTTTATTTGAATAAAGAATTGTAATTTGCCGACATTTCCCATTTCTTTTCTTTTGTATGCTGCTTGCATCAGTTCAAAAGTTTTGAAATTCGGCCATTACATAGAAAAAGGTCGTCCATTCCTGCCATAGACGATGTTTACGAAGAACGAAGTCCTCTGTATCTATATTATAACTTTTTCAAATGTTATTTTTAAATTGATTTAATTTCTTTAAAACTTACAGTTTTAAAGAAATTAATTATATAAAACAGTAATAAAAATTGAAAAGATAAAATTATATATTGTGCATAATGTTTACTTTTTTTAGCCTATATATAAGAATTGTTAAGATTAAAAAATTAAGTACATACATTTAATAATGTTTCGTGAATGGATGCAATACGCTCCATAGACATTAATCTTTTATAGAAGTCTCTCGATTCGTTTAAATATACGTTC